GACACGACCCGTGTCAGGTGACACAACCTTCCGTGTCAGCCCCCTGGAATCCAGGTTTGCACACACTCATATCTTGACACGGCCCATGTCAGGTGACACGACCACCCGTGTTAGGCCCCCTGTAGCATGGTTTTTTCACTTTCTCTGAAACTTCGAGTTTTGCACTTTCCTGCACTGATTTGTCCTGATTTATTCCTATAAGCTTAAAAACAGTAAAACACACAACCAATACATGAAATGTAGAAGAATGAAATGAAACGCTTGACAATATAAAGAAAAGATATCTAAAATCAATGGTATATGACTGTGTAAAAACCAATAATCATGGAGTTGGTTAAATGTTTGTGAAATGTTGTTAATTATGCGAATTCAGTAATTTTCTGTGTTGAATAATTTGTGTTGATGTTGTTTAATTGAATTTGCGCGTCGAATTTTGTTACCGATGTAATTATGTTGAAAAATGATGTTGAATCCATGAGTTCAATATTCTTGACGCATTTGTCCATGAACTAGTGTTTTGATGCGATTTCGATATAAATTTGCATTGAGTTTTGATGTGGTTAATGTTGGTTTATGTTGAATTGTGTTGAATCTTGAATTGATGATGAGAATTTAGTTTGACTTCATGAGTTAATGTAACTTTACATCGTTTTGTTGATAAATTTGATTTTCTATATTGAAAATGTTTTGATTCGATAAAGTTATATTAACTAATGAATGATGTTTTGAGCTTGGAATTAAGATTTCCGGTGTGATTTCATTGTTTGTAACTTGTTCACCATTCTTAAGCGACAATACTTGAACCGATAAGCATGTTTTTGCATTCATTGGAAATTGTTGAAGTGATTTTTATCAGTATTGGTTCAAGTATAAGTTGATGTCTGGAATGTGTAAACAAGGTGCAAATCGCTTTTAAAATTTGGTTGAGGTTTATTTGATCATGTGCGAACACTTATGTATGGTTGAGATTGATTTTTACCATTTCCGATGTGATTTTCGGGATTGATTTGTGATACGGTGTAGTGCTGTCTGGTTTTCAAAAAACGCACTTGGAACTTTTTTTAATTGTTAACTTTAGTTCCATTGCATTTGTTTTAGCATTTGAGTGACGATTATGTCAAGTTTTACCGATTTTGAAATAATTTTTGTGCATTTTAAAATTGAGTAAAATGATGTCCGGTATTCTTTATAACACGTGAATTGAGCTTTAGTATTCACATGATGCATGTTTGAACTTCATTGGTTGATTATTGGACATTGTAGTTGAGTTGGTTTAATTTCGATGCGTTTTGCGATTTAATTCTTAAAATGAAGAAGGTGTTATCAGACACTTTTTCCACTTGTTTTTAGTGATATAATTTGCATCTCATGTTTGTCTATGCATAGTTGTTCATTTCTTGATTATTGTGTTCGAGTTTACTCGACTTTGATGAGATTACTTGTGTGTTTTGTCGTATGTGTGAGTTGCTGCTCAGTTTTGTAAAATATGCTCGAAATGAGTTTTACTTATTGGTTTATGCATAATTGTGCTTGTATTGGTATTTGTTATACATTTGCATTGAGTTGTGTTGATATTGGACCTATATTTCATGAGATTCATATTATGATGTACATGTTGCCCCGTATTTGGTTTTGTGTTTTCGTTACTTGTTTGGTCTCGCTTCATGCATGATAATATGTCATTTTAAGTTGTGATGTAGATTGTTGAGATGCATTTGATATTCCTTGTTATTTGCTAACTCTTCCTGTGACACTGTGCAAGTTTTGGAAGGCGATTCATTGCGACACATTTGTTTGGTTTTTACTATTTGCTTGTGTAACATTTCTTGGTGCAGGATATTAGCTTGGAGCATGCATAGCTTGTAATTTATTTTCGCATCATAATGTTGGATGATTCTATTGGATATTGTATCTGATCTGATTTGTTGTTGATTCTAGCTTGCTCAAAGTATTCCAGGTTTCTTTGGCTTGTACTCGCTATATAACGGACTCTTATATGTTTGGTATATTACTGGTTCATTTTTCTGCATTTGTTTACCGCTTTTCTGATGCCATGAGAAGTAGAAATAAATATGCATGATTATTTACCGCTTTTATGATGCCATGATAATTAGGATAGAGATGCATGTTCTAGGAGTCTCTTTGAGGAAGATATGGTTTATTTAAAGACATGTTTAAGGAAATTCTACTTGTGCTTGTTTGGTTACTGAAACAACCGGCTGAAAATCATCAAACAATAAAGTCGCCATCGAACGTCTTTTATCCCACAGGAAGGGAAAGGTAAACATCGAGAAAACCCGAGAAGGATGAAATCAAGGTCGAACGACCAAGAGATAAGGGTAAGGGAGTCTGTTACGCGAGGGGAAGGTATTAGCACCCCACACGCCCGTAGTACTCTACGGTATCCACTCTTGTCATCTATCTTATGGGTGTGTTTAATCTATGCTTACTGTTTATTATGCTACTAAAGGGATAATGCATGCAAAAATAAAAGAGAAAAGAATGTAGGGAAAATGAAAAGTTGTGCTCGCTTGGGCCCTACCCCAATGCCTACGTATCCCTTTTAAGGAATCAGAGCAGCCGTAGTTCGGCTTATATGTTTTTGTTTGTTTGTATTTTTTACTGAACAGTATTAATTTCGCCTTCTTCCGCAACTCGACCTTTGGAGACTTACGCGTCAGCACAGAAGTGAATTAACATGCTCTCTGAAAATATTTGGAGAAGATGTGTCTGGACGCACAAAAAAAGGTTTGAACTTGTTTGTTTTTGAATGAACGGTAGTAATTTCGCCTTCTGCCGCAACTCGACCGTTGGAGACTTACGCGTCAGCACAGAAGTGAATTAATATGCTCTTTTGAAAAGAGTTTGAAAGGAAGGGCCCGAAGGCAAAAAGATTTTGTATTGGTTGGTATTTTTGCTTGTAGATAATAGCTAGTTGATCTCAAGAGAGAGATTTTAGCCATGTCTCTACTTATTCATGAAATGAATCTTTGAGACTTGAACCCTACCAAAGCTTAGAACAAGAGAATAATAAGGTCGAGAAGAAACCCTCTTATCATCTCTCAAACTTAGCCAAGACGTGGTTCTTGTCAGTAAATTTCCCCTTTTTTGTATTTTTGAAGTTTTTTGTAAAAAAAGAAATTTTTGTTATTATAAATGCATATGCGAAGAGGGAAAGAAACGTTATAGGGAGACTAGCCTAAACCTGATTCTATCACACTTCATATGATCTATGGGAAAAGATAAATGCGAGGTAAGATAGAAAGAAAGTATACCAAACGGATACTAGCCCGTAGAGCAAAGTAGAAAAAGCAAAGATACTTGATGTTCTTGCGAGCTGCTAGCACCAACAAAGAAAAGAGTCAGAAACCCCATTACTGAAACATCTTTTAATGTGAAAATGAATCACAATCGGCATCTCGAACATATCCATATAAAAACCTGCATAAGACTCGAATCTTAACGAGCAAAGTGAATTACCAGTTTCGAGTAACCGAATAATTATTAATTAATTCCCAAAGGCAAAATAATAAAAAGAATATAATAAGTTCTCCTCTTTTCTTTTCTTTTTTTGATTTAACCATTTGAAATAACAATTAAATAAATGAATAATAATAGAAAAAACAAAAAAATAAAAGAATTCCAAAATGACGACGTTTACTGTAAACGACCCCTTCCAGCTCCTTTATGCAGAAAGCCTTTCTTCTCCATGTCGACAACAACAATGGCGATGCCGCCATGACTCCACCCCTTCTCCCCTGTTCCGATTCAACTTTCTTGCTAACACCACTTAACGTCTCCCTCTGAATTCGACTCCTTTGCTTGCTTTCGTCAATTTCTCTTCCTCTATTTCGAATCTAACAACGAAACTTAAGCTCTACATTTCTTCCGATTAAGATTACATGGTGGATTTATCGTTTGCTGCATTTTACCCTTCGCGGTTATGGTACAGACCAAGCAAAAAAAGTCGTAAAAAGAAGAAGATTGAGGATTACCTATTGAAGGCACGTTGGTAGCGCTTTAGAAATCCAGAGGTGCAGTAATACAGTTATTGTTTTTCTTGATCTTGTCTGCTTCGTCTTGATTCTCTCCTCACTGTCTTCACTTTTTCTTTGGTCTGGGAGTTGCGTGCGTTGGCGATAGGAGAAGAACGGAAATGATGACAATTATGAAGATTATCGCGAGTTGAGAAAAATGAACTTTGTATGATGAATCAGAGAGAAGTGAAGCTTTCAGAACTAACTGAAGGTCGAACAATGGAGAGTGGTGGTGAAGATGGATTTTAGAGAGGTGAAGTTGAAGATTATGAGAGTTCAGAAAAATTGAGAGTGAATGATGGAGAGGGAAGAAGTTGTTTTGAAGCTGATACAATGATGAAGTTCTGAAACTGGAAAAGTGAGAGTGACCTCGTCCCCTCAAAACTTGGAGGGGGTTTGGATTATATAGGTAGTTGAGGGAGGAAACGGTTATGTGGGAATCAATCTGAACCATTGATTTGGATATAGTTTGTTAGGGATTGAAGGGTGAGATTGAGAGTTGGTTACAAGGTGGTTATGCTAGTTGGGAATTCTGTTTGGAGGTAGTTAGAGAGTTATAAAGTTGTTAGGAGGAGATTGATGAGCTGTTAATTAATCTTCTGTTTCCCATTCTTCAAGCTTCTGTCCTACAAACAATTCCTTCAGCAGCCAGCTGCTTTAACAAAGGAACATCCAAAAATGGCATATTAGGATACCATTTGTCAGTTAATTCAACTTGTACCGACTCTTTATTCTGATTAGATAAATTGTCGTTTTGAAGTTTCAGCCTTCCCACCAAGCTTAGTCTTGTGTTGATTGCTAGCATTTGTATTAGTGTGCAGCTCAGTTTTAAACTTACCCTTGTCAGTACAACGGGCATCTCTTCCATATTTGAATCATTCGGGTTATCAAACTGGGTTTGGCTGGTTGGGTCTAGTTGACGCACCGAATACATGGCCCAGAAAATGGGTTGATAATAAACATTCAGTTTCTCAATAAACTTCTTTCCCATTTGATTGAGGAAGATATCTCAACATCTAGAAGGGATAAACAAGCTGACTCTAATTTCTTTCCACCAAGCACATTTTCAACAATCACCAACAGAGTTTGGCAAGCATGGTATTCTGCCATGTTTTCTGTACCAGTGCCATTGAACTCCAGTGATTGATCCTTCCTTGGCTGGAGTTAATTTGGACACAACCTGTCTAAGTGCATAATCAAGCATCCATATAATTGTTAACTATTATGTGATCAGTTACAGAAGAATGTAGAAAGCTGAGAATTTAAAGTACAAAGCAAAATTACACAAATAATACAGGCTATAGAGGTTTTTTAAAGCGCTAAGCATTATTATCTGCAACCAAATGTTAAAGATCTCAAACAATAACGTAAGACCAACAGGTTGCAGTGCAGCAAGAACTTTGACAAGCTCCATCTTATTGCTGGAAAAAGCATTGGGTTAATTCAGGATCAACAGAGGAAGGGGTTGTAAACACTTCCCAACTTAGTATGTAGTGGACAGCGATCACTTCAGATTTTATGTCACGGTTGACATAAACGTGCATACTTTTGCATGAAAATAAGCCAGATAAGCTCCTCTGCTAAAATATATAGTTTCTTCTCTTTTCACATTTTAACCTTTTGGCAAAGCAGCAAATCTGAAAAGTGATTGGCATAAAAAGTTACTGCTGCTCATATTGCTCAAGCAACTTCCTGACTCTCAAACACAGATGTTACAAGGGTAGACTGGACTGAACCCCTTTTAGTGCACAAATCAAGTTGATAGGAGAGAAACCATTGCTTCCGCAGATTCTGGTCCATCATTATTCACACTTGGTATAATGTTATTGGGAGACACAAAATTTACAAACTCTTTGAGTTCTGTAAAGCTGGAATGCTCACTGTAAGGAACTTCATACCTTATAACAGTACCCTGCTGCCACCTTCTTCCAGGAGACTTCTTTTTACCTTTGCCAAATGTCTAACCAGTAGGAGAGAAAGCAACTATAAGACTGAACCGACTCGCATATTGACTTGATATGTGCTTCAATCTTTTGAAGCTTGCGAGTGTCCACATAGGGGCAACATGAATATTGCTTTCATGCTCATTTGAAGTAAACCACTACATATCCTCCTCAGCAAATTCTAAACAATTTAAAAGGCGTAATTTTGCTGCAGTTACGTAAACCTTTTTGCGAAGCGAACGAGCAACCTCTAAGAATAGCCTTTCTTTTCCAATTGTATAGCTGCCAATCAGAAAAAGAGTCTTGGGATTAAAAGCTTCTACTTGAATGGCGTCAATAACAAATTGTATTACAGCCTCTTGTTTTGGAACTACCTTCCCAAGGCCCGTGCCAGGATTCGGTTGTTTATCAGCATAGGGAACATGTTCAGTTTTTGATTTCTTAGGAGTTCCAGAACTAGATTGATCAGCATATGTCTTACGTTTCAACTTAATATACTTTCTGGTACCTTCACTTGTTTGCTTTTCTCTCTCTTCGGACACATGTCTCTCTTCTATCGTGTTGTTAGACCTGCTGGGATGTTTCATCTTCATTGGTTTAGAATCTGTAGAATGTTGATTCAAGTTTCTATTTTTTCCTGATACTTGAGCATTGAGCTTTCCTGACATTATCTTTTCCTTAAAAACAAGTTTCTTCTTTCCTTGGTCAAGCAACACGTTAGAATTGGACTTTTTGTGATTCAGACCAAACTGTGATGCATCAGCAGAGCTCACTCCAAATGCAGTTTCAGAGGCATGCATTTGCAAGTTATTTTGACCCTCAGAAATCGGCACTTGATATGAAGCATACAATTCCTTTGTTGTCTCATCCTCACTGAAGTCACAAGAATTCATCCCAGGCAGCCAATTAAGCATGACACACAACCATTTCTCTGGAAGTTGCTCTGGCTTTAAGCCAGTAGGTAGAAGCCTCCATTTCTGGCATCTGTCGCAAGCTACCCAATCTTCTGCAATAAGTTGAGGTGCTGCTACTGCTGTTGGAATCATTTCCAGAGCAGTATTATTTTCAGCCATGGGAAATGAACCCAGATCATCTGTTTTGTGTGGCCCAGCTAGCGAGTGGTTAACCACTTTATTGCCACTTGGTCTTTCATTTACTTTAGCGCAAAATGCAGTCTGTTTTTCATTATTATTGTTAGACTTGGAAGTCTTAACAGAACTATTACCAGGAAAATCATCGACTTTCTGATCTGAGTTTTTCTCTTTCAATGACCCTTTGCTACCATCTCTTTTCATTCCCAACAAAGGGAAGCTTATTTTCACATTTACCTGCATTACTTAACACTGCATGCTTATACATCAAATGCCACTTTTTTACATATTTCTGATCTCTTTCCTGCACTCCATGTGCAAGACCAGTAATACTACTACCATGTTTAGGCTCTTCCTGCACAAAATTCTTCTGCAGCACATTGTGATCCGACTCCATATTTTTGCTTTTGGCTGTTACTTCCTCCACCAATATCCCAATATCGAAATCCGCAAACTTGACTATATATGTTGATGTTGATTCCACAACAGCACTTTCATCATTTTTCTTAAATGCAGTTGTATTCTTGTCTATCCTTTCGCTTTTTGTTACCTCAAAACCCTTTCGGTCGTTTATTTCTTCCTGTCGTGAACATACGGCATAATATCGTGGTCAGTTTCATTGCGATGTTCAAGCTTGGAGATATGTAAATTACCAATAACATCTTGGACAGTCTGCTGTTTGGATCCTGGTGTTGCGGTTAATGCCAATATCCTTAGTTGTACTGGTACAACCATTAACTCGCGAACTTCTTCACAATACGAGTAATTTCCCATTGCTCTGTGAGCTTCATCAATCACCAAACATACCAAGTACTTCACCAAACACTTACCAGAATGAATGTCTTTTTCCAAAACTTGTGGAGTGACAAAGAAAACTCGCTTCGTTTTCCACAAACGAGCTCTTTTTGGGAGGACTTAACTGACCGGTCATATCAACTGTCCATTCTTGCGGTATCCCAACAATGTTATGGCATGCTTCTATTTGCTGCATGACGAGTGGTCGAGAAGGAGCAGCAAATACTATTTTTCCCTCGGGAGACCATCTAAAGTAGTTATACATGACAACAGCAGCAATGAGAGTTTTGCCAAGTCCTGTTGGCAAGGCGACCAGAGTGTTTTGAAAGAGAGCAGTTTGGGCAATATGGAATTGATAGTCACGGAGAGGAACATTAACTGGATATATCCAAGTTTTGGCTGCTTCATTGTCAATATGATGGTCACAGATAGATTCTTCAGCATCATTTTCTCGAACTGGATTCGTTTCACTTTCCTTTTTCGCAATTCCAACAAAACTATCAAGAGTCGATTGCTTTCCCTTTTTCTCTTTTCGCGCTTTTGATGAACCTTTTCCAATTCGCTTTCGTTTGTTTTCGCGCCACTTCTCATTTGACAAACCGCGCCGATTTCTCTCGCAGCTGCTTCCCAATCAAAACCATCATCGTCGTCGAGAATCTCGTAAGGATTATTGGATTCCATTTGATAAATTACTCGGACTTTTGGTTTGTTTGAAGATTTTGGGGGTTCTGGTTCAAGACTAGGAGGAGTGGGGAAGGTGAATGTGCTTGTGCTCTTCCCTGTTCCAGACTGATCAGAGGATAAAGAAAATTTCTGAACAATAAGCTGCCAAATGTTCACCAAAACATTTATGAAATGTATCCTAGATGCTTTCAAATTACTTTGCATTTCCAGAGCAACCTCTTTCAAATCCCCACCTTCTTCATCATGAAACAGTAACCTTTTACAAAGTGATATCTTTGCGACAACGTGATTGATTATGTTGAAAGACTGGCAAAGAGAATAACTATCAATACATTGACTATGACAGTCCATCAGCTCATCATGCAAGGCAAGTGTGGGCCAAATGGATTTGAATAGCTTCAAACGGTTCTTCAGTTTCAGAGAATCTCCATTAAGAGCAAAGTGATACTGCAACATATTGATTGATTTTCTAAGGAGACTACAATCAGTAAGACAGAGAAGCTCTTGAACAGATGATGGGACAGATTCTCCATACTCTTCCTCAAATATGTCTTTGGATAAAAAGCTCTTCCACTTACTAAAACCTTTTAAAAGGATTTTTGAATAGAAGTACGAGATCTTTTTAAAAGCTCTGTGACTCAGATCCCCAAATCTCTCCAAAATTAACCTCAAATACGATAAAGAGGTCGGAAAAAGTGATATAAACTGATCTTTTGAAAGACTGAGATCAAAAGCTTCGGCAACCCCAACATCATGATCTAAACTTCTTTTCACTATGCCCAAAAATAAAATGCCCAAATATAGATGAATGCAGAGAGTCTAAGCCAGATAGAAGAAATTAGGAGGGCAAAATTTGGGGTGCAACAATTACCATCTTGTTTGTTTACATTTGTGCCAAAGACCTTGATGAATGAATCCCATTCTCATTCCACATTGATAAGTCCTCAAAAGGAGGCAAGGCGACAAAGGGTCCACAATCGACCCCTTAATTTCTTTTTCGTGTCATTCGTAGCTTGCATTGTGCGTTGATGCTATGAACTATGTTGCTCATGTTATCGAGTCGGTCTGATGGAAAAGCGATTCATAATTAATACCCCACACTTTATCTTTAGCTCGCGTTTGTGAAACATTGACGCTTTAATGTGATCTCATTATTTCCTTCTATCTCCTACCTCGATTTTTGATATCTTGGTCAGGTGTTTGTCGCTTATGATGACTCACTTTTGTTCTTCTCTTGCCTCGATTATGTGATATATTGGTTAAGAGTCGACGCACCTTTTATTTCTTGCCCTGATGATTTGATATCACGGTTAAGAACCATTATTCCTCCATTTCGCTTGTCTCGACAGTTCGATGTCTTGACTAAGCACCAATTTATCCTACCTTGATGATTTGATATCATGGTTAGGTTCCCCATTTCCCTTGTCCTACCTAAATGATATTATATTGTGGTTAGGCATCCCTCTCCTTATCCTATCTTGGTACCATAATGCCTCGATTAGGTGTGTGCTACTTGAGTGAGTGATACTCCTCAAGCTTTGTTTGCTTGTTTTGGTTTTGACTTTGGGTGATCGCACTTGTTTGTGTGTTTCTTTAGGTTTTGAACCTTTTCCATTCTCCCTTAAGATCTCTTGATTCAACCTTTGGCGGTGACTCGAGATAGACATAGGTTGTGAACCATGCATGCTAACTTAGTTTAAGGTTCCCCTTTTATCCTTGACCTTAGGGCCATCATTGTATGATAACATTAGCGATTATATTTAGGATAGTTTCCATTAGACTTTTTCTTTTTTTCTTTTACATCCTTAAAACTAAAATATTTTTCTTTGGAAAATGCATAAAACATCTAAAACTTCTCAAATCCTTTCTTCAAGGTAAAAAAACACCAACCAATGCAAATATTTTTGTCTTCAGACATTTCCTTTTTAAAAAAAACCTTTTCAATAGGTATGTGTTGTTTCAAATTCGAACAACTTGAAAATGCTAAGTGTGCGAGGGGCCTAGCATGAGTCTTTTTATGAGCTGCAACGACAAGCACAAATTGCAATCCTAACCGTAAGGATGTAAATGCAGCATTATCCACAAAAAACAAAAAACAAACGGAAACTATTGAGCCAAACTATGGCGCTCTGATTCCTTAAAAGGGATATGTAGGCATCTGGTCGCAGGGCTCAGCCGAGCAAAACTTTGTAAATATTCCTTCTTTTCCCTGTGTTTTCTTTTACATGCATTCCCTCTTTGCATTTTTCCATCTTAGCTCGTAAGCTTTAGATTTGAACACACCCTTTGATTAGAACAACAAGAGTGGATCCCATGGATTACCATGGACGTGAGGGATGTTAATACCTTCCCTGTTGTACCCCAACATTTTCCCTCCTATTTCACTCAAGACATACTCTTAGAGGTTCTCAATTACTCAAAGGTTGACCAAGAATTGACCAGGCAGTTCTCCTCCTAAGGCAATGAACCCCCAACCAAGGTTTCCATTTTCATCAAGATGGTTGAGCTCCAATGGTCTCAAATGTTCTCCATTTTCCTAATATGTCCTCAAGATCATCCATGCCAAGTTTCATTCCTTGCTCAATAAGTTTGCTCAGTGAATTGCTCAAGTATTGAAAAATCAATTGTACTAGGTCAAAAGTCAATTGTGACACAAATACAGTCAAACTTCAATATGTTTGGAAAACATCAACATTTTTAAGTGATATCCATCATTTGATCAAGGGTTTATCATGATTCCTCAAGAAATTCTACTAATCTATCAAAAGTCAAAAATTGCTAAATTAGGGTTTCTATAGGAAAAGTCAACTGAACTTTGACCAGGCATAACTTTTACATACTTCATCCATTTTTTCTCCAACCAAAGCTAATTTTGAAGAGAATCCAATTTCCTACTTCTCTTATATCCTCAAGTTCAAGAAATGCACCATTTGAAAGATACAAGCTCATACATTACAAGTCATTTTCAAAAAGTCAACAAAAGACACTTTTTGTCAAGACTACTTAAATCAAGATAATATCTTCAAAAAAAAATTATCAACATAGAGATTTTATAGGACATCTTGGGATTTCCAAAAAGTCAAAGATCATCTTCAAAAGATGAATATTGATCAAGTTATGGTTTGTACAAGTTTGGCAAATTTGTGAAAAATGCATGAAGTCAACTTTGAGCAAAATTGTATTTTTAGGTTAATGGACCTAACATTTAGGGTTCAAACATGTTTATGACATACACAAGGACCTCTAAACCTAAGCATTCACTATTTTGATTTTGATTTCTATTTATTTGAATTTTTATTCATTTAAATATGAATTAAATCAAATAAATTAAATAAAAATACAAAGAAAAATGGGCGATGACATTTGGGTTTGATTTGATCTATTAGAATGCCCATATTTTCGTGCAAGATACATCCAAAGGGACTAGGTTCATGCAAGTGACCAAAGAGGCAAAGATATCACAAATATGGACATTTTTTAATGTGTTTTATCCTTGTCTCCAAGGTCATGAATGCATTGATTCTTTACCATGTTTGATCACTCCTATCTTCCATCTATAAATATATAACATTACAACCCAAAGGGAGCACGAAATTCCTCTCCAAAAATCTCTCAAAAATCTCTTCAAAAAGCTCTTCAAAAGTTCTTCAAAAAGCTCTCCAGAAATCAAAGAATTGGTGCAAGTCATATCTTGAGGTTCCGATCTCTCTCGATTGACACCAAGCCTCAAACAATCCTCTTGAAGTTCCCAGGAGTCTTACAAGACCCAAGATAAGTCAATCACACGCCTAGCACACACCTATTTGACAACACTGGTTTGTTATGGATGGTTGAATCAGAGGTTCCACGCAAGAATCTGAAAACACCATGGTTAGGGCATGAAGCTTTCAAAGGTTCGGGCCTAGGGATTTCTGATGATTGCACTTCCTGTTTACTTTTGCTACTAGGCATATCTTTATTTTCTTGTTTTATTCATTTTATTTATTTCTTTTAATTCCTTTTTTATTTTAATCAATAAACAAATATAAAAATCACATAAAAATAGATTTAGGATTTTTCTTAATTAAATTTTAATTTTGGTAAATTAATTAACTAATCACTTTAACTTTATTTTAAATTAAAATTAATAGACTTAGTTTTATTTCTTAAATCATTTTTTTAATTTTGTATTTTAATTAGATTAATTATTTCAACTTTACTTTATTAATTTTAAAATCAATTAGATTTAGGTTCATTTTAATTTAAATTGTTTTTCTTAATAAAAAATACAAAAAATATTAGAATTAGGATTTATTTCATTCAATATTTATTTTCTTAATTAAAACTAAATTTAGAGTTAATTGTTTTCTTAACAAAACCAAAAAAAAAGATTTTCGTTTACTTAGAACTTTTTTAGTTTTTTTTAGACGTGATATTTATTTCACGCGTGTTTATTTTTATTCTCACAATTTATAAATATTGTAACTGCTTATGGATGTAATAGTTTTAGATTTAAAATTCCGCGCTTTATTTCATGCACTCTTTTTTATGTAACTCTCCCAAAGCCGTGTAATAGTTTATGATTTACTTTTTCTGCATTTTATTTTCTGCAATTTACCGCTTTATTTTGATATATTACTGTTAGTAAATAGGCGTGTATGGAAAGACTATAAATTAAAATGTTAGCAAACCTTAATGAAAATTATAAATAACTGAAAAACCACACTTCTCACACTTGCATCCTTAGGGTATTCCTCACTCGGTTGCCTCGTAAATGGTCACGTCCCTCAAACGTAGGGATATCTTAGCTAAGACCCTCGATATAAAAGTAATCATAAAAGATCATGGTCCCTAAACGTCCCTCGAGTTTCCTTTCAGTGAATGATCTTGTCCCTCGATGTTGCCTATATGATGACAGTCCTTTCGAATGCTAAGGTATCCTTACATGTTGCCTTCAATGATCATAACGTCCCTTTCGATAGTCCCACAACATTCGACGATAGGGCTACCTATTCAATAATAGTAGGATAGAACTATCTAAAGGGTAGAAGGAAAAAAACTTCCTTTTTCGAGTAGGTAGATAACTGTTAGTTACTTGCTCAAAGAACAACTTTTTCACACTTACACACTTTCAAAAATCTTTTCAAAATACTTTATCACACTCTTGAGTACTAATACAAGAGTTACCATAAAGCAAACAAAAAATTTCAAAACTCACTAACACACAAACAATTTTCAAAATGAGCAAGTACCTAAGAGCCTATGGAAAACCACGGATGGAAAGGGTGCTAACACCTTCCCTTTCCATAATCTACCCCCCTTACTCAGAAAATCTCGAAAAAGGTCTTTTTCTGTTCTTTTCACCCTTTCCTTTGTTGGATAAAAGAAAAGTCAGTGGCGACTCTTACTATCCGTAACAATTATGATGAAACGTAAAACATCCAAATCAGTTCTCCCATCGTGTTACAGAACTGGCG